CCCATCCACAGTATGGGGCACCACATCAATTTCTGTATCCATTAGGCTATGGTCAGATGTGAAGGGCGCACGTCACATGTTATGTGTATTGTGGAATGTCGGGAATGGATCTATGGCTAATGATGATCTAACACTGTAAACGCTTCTAGGAATCTGTACCCTTTGTCCTACAGACCACAACATAAGCACACAAGGCCGACCAGCTCAGATCACACCACCTTCAAACTGTCATCAGCGTCTGGGACCAGAGGGAACCGCAGTGTCAGGGTTATTTACTAAACATTTTTTATTAGTGAAATCAGATGTAGCAAAAATATACATAAGACCAGAGTAGCCAAACTGAAAGCATAAATAACTTGGAAAATGTTTCCAATTGGCTATTTTGACCTTCATTTTAAAATTCACTTAGAATTTTTGAATGTTTTTTGAATATTTGACAGTAAATAACCCTGTCTATCTCACCTTTACATCCCACACACTCACTAACCTCCTGCCAAGGCAGACAATGCTATCCGTCCATTTTAATCTTTACATCGTATTTGCCAATGGCCATCTTTAATCCATGGCATTAAAGTGATTGGAAGAATTTGCATAGTAAATGTTAGGAGTCCCGATGTGATCAATGCTGCATGGTAAATCATTTAATATATATGTTCAGCCAATCACAGTACACGAGGAGCCAGATTGAGAGTGAAGGGGTGAACAAATACATTCTTCTTTGTCTGTAGGCATCAGTCTTCATTGCCGTCTTTAAGAATCGGATTGCAAGTTCGGGAGGTTGTTTTTGGATAGTTATTTTTATATTTATGTATTTTAGGAGACTGTTTCTATTAAATCAAGGATTTTTATTGACATCTCTATTATTATTATTATTGCCATTTAAATAGCGCCAATAGATTCCGTAGCGCTTTACAATATTATGAGGGGCAGTGAGAGCATGCAAGCATCCATAGGAAAGCATTGTAAATGCTTTCCTATGCGACCGGCTGAATGCGCACGCAGCTCTTGCCGCGAGTGCGCATTCAGCCGAATGGGAGGATCGGAGGAGGAGAGCTCCCCACCCGGCGCTGGAAAAGGTACGTTTTAACCCCTTTCCTCTCCCCAGAGCCGGGCAGGAGGGGGACCCTGAGGGTGGGGGCACCCTCAGGGCACTATAGTGCCAGGAAAACGAGTATGTTTTCCTGGCACTATAGTGGTCCTTTAACTATAAATAGGACAATTACAATAAAACTTACAGGAACGATAGGTTGAAGAGGACCCTGCTGAAACGAGCTTACAGTCTATAGGAAGACACCATAGGTGTGAAATGATTGTGTATTTTATTTTTATAGCCCTATAATTGTTCAGTGGGCTTTGGGACTAACAGCTCGTTCCTGCCCTGTCGCACCAGGTTTGCGAAAATATTGGTGGTGTCTGCTCAGTACAGTAAGCCATAACCCCCAGACAGTGCTGTGTGTTTCATAGCCTTTGACAGTAATTGAATGTCAATTGCTTTTGCAGCATCCATATCTTGAATGGGTCTAAAACATCTAGATATGAAGTAGCGGACTTCCTACACTAGTCACCTAGTGAATGGATTTGTCCTTAAAAAAAATCTGTGACGCAGCACTGCTTACTAAACTGTTGCAGGTCATGTCCATGGATCCATATTATCAGGCATTAGCTCTGTCCCTTGGCAAGAACAGATGTGATGAAAAACATCAGTCATAGAGAGTCATCATTTGGGATTTTCCACCCCATAATAGATCTAAGGATATCAACATATAGTGTCTAGTTCTTACCATGTCTATAACAGGGCGAGCAGTGGGATTAGGAGTGTTCACCAAATCATTATATATATTTTTTTTTTTTTGAGGTAGCATTTTCTGCAGATAGGATAGCTGGTGGCCGCGTCAGCTAGAGCCCGGGCATCTCTCCGGAGCGAGAATGTTTGCACTGGGCAGGGTGGTGTGGAGTTGTTCATTCGGAGGTCCAAAACAGACCAGCTAGGACATGGGAGGACGGTTAGTATTGGTGCTACTGGGGTTAGGTGCACGAGCAGGTTAAGGTACGATGACGGCGGGGGATACGGGGTTTGGGTTTGCACCAAGTTTATCCAGAGTGCGTCGCTTCGTGACTGGGCCAGTGGTTGTGGTGATACATGCTGGGGGGAATGACTTGGGGCGGAGCCGTGCAGTTGATTTAACTTATGTGTGCAAGCACGATTTGGCTCAGTGTATGGCACTTTTCAATGATGTCACGCTGGTGTGGTCCGAAGTCATTCCTCGTCTGGCTTGGGTGGCGCTGCCAGATGCTAAGGCGGTGGTTCAACATGCCCATTTTACATTTTGTGCGGAGGCTGGGTGGCGTTGTGGCTTGTCATGTGGAGCTGGAAGGGGACAACTTAAATTTAATGAGGACTGATGGGGTCCACCTGAATTAAATTGGGTTGGTTATTTTCAATTTGGGGCTACAGTCGGCCATTGAACAGGTGCTGGCTTCGGGGGGAAGCAGTCCTCTCCAAGGATAGGGGAGAGGCTGCGGTGGCGGTTTGTCCTTCGCCAGCAAGTGGAACTGAGATCATTGCCCGGACGGGTTTGGGGAGTCGCAGCCTGATCCAGTTAAGGACGAACTTCAGGCTGAAGAGGCTCGGGAAGTATAAAGTTATGGTTAACTGTCTGCTGGAAAAGTCCTGCAGCTGACAGTTGGAAGGGTAGCAGAAGGAAAAGGAAGAGGGTCAGCAGTCAAGGCCAACCCCCGTAGTGGATAAGGAGGGTTGAGCATGACTGCTGCCCAGAGAGGTTGGCATGGCAACAAGGGATACAATGTTCGAGATGCACCTGGATCGGGGACACTGGGAAAGGACTTACCAAACCACTGGAGAGCATGCTGAGGGAACCTGGCAGCCCACCCTCCCGCAGTTGGTGTGAAAATGGTATATGTTATTGTTGAATGTGAATGTGTTTGGTGTTGTTTCTTTCTGTTTATTTTGTCACAGCTGCGGTTTGTCCTTCACCAGCAAGTGGAATGGAGATCATTGCCCGAACGGGCTTGGGGAGTCGCAGCCTGGTCTGGTTGAGGACGGACTTCAGGCTGAAGAGGCTCGGGAAGAATAAAGTTATGGTTAGCTGTCTGCTGGAAAATTCCATCAGCTGACAGTTGTTTATGTTACGCTGGCTTGCTAATAAAAGCTGTAGCCGTTGCCCTTACCCACAATTTGGTTGTCTGTGAGTTATTGGGGGGAAGGGTAGCGGAAGGAAAAGGGAGAGGGTCAGCAGTCATGGTCACCTAGTGAATGGATTTGTCCTTAAAAAAAATCTGTGACGCAGCACTGCTTACTAAACTGTTGCAGGTCACGTCCACTGATCCGTATTATCAGGCATTAGCTCTGTCCCTTGGCAAGAACAGATCTGTTGCAAAACATCAGTCAGAGAGATTCGTTATTCGGGATTTTCCACCCCATAATAGATCTAAGGATATCAACATATAGTGTCCAGTTCTTACCATGTCTATAACGAGCAGTGGGATGAGGAGTGCTCACCAAATCATATATATATAAACAAATGTATGGAAGGACGGGAATAACCTCTTCTTCAAAATTCTCCTTGATTGGATAAAAACGTTTGGCTGTCCATGTTAGATCTAGTGGTGGGTTCAGGCTGGCTATTCAAGTGTTAATTCAAGCGTTAAACAAAATCCTGTTTGTACATATTGATCGGAACATGATGCCATGTGGATTCCTAGTGTATGATTGCAATAAGGAGCTAAGTTACTCTAGTCAGAGTATGTTGTAAATAAAAGAGTGATTTTTATAAAATATATCAGTTTTCCCCAATAAGAATATAGAAAGCGTGTGCACTAACAAAATACATAATCTAGAAAGCATCATATATACATTTAGTGAGAACATAATCATATAATAATATCTCAAATATTAAATGTATTACATTATGGAACGAAACAGTACTAGATATGCAGGGAGCAGACCTTTTGTTGATGTGAGAGAAACACTAGTAAATTTGTAAATAACCAAACGCTCAGATTACATCGAAATCTATATAGTATGTGCGGGAATTGTCAAAGAGATCAGATATCTCCATACGTATTGTGAGTGGGGTATGGTTTCTTCCAGGTATTTTACACAGGTTCATCCACAGCAATAGCAAATAAAATAGTTTATCTAGTAAACTGGAAATTGCAGAAAATTGACACCGGAATGAGAATGAGATAAAAAAGAAAACACACAAAGTGTAATCTGTAAACAAAGTGACATATGGTCCCATCATTGTTTACAGATTACACTATGTGTGTTTTCCTTTTTGCCTCATTCTAGATATACTTATATCTGTTCTGAATCTGTTGATTATATCGCTAGGGTCTACTCATTATATTAAGTATTTTGTTTATGTATACACTGGGTGTATATATTGCTCTACTTGTTTTTGAAAAGGTGTTGGGGAAGCACTGTTTTATTATACACACAGTGTTTTATAACAAGTTGAAGAACCAACACATTTTTTTTTCTTCTCGCTTTTCTGACATTTAATACTTTTTTCTCACGTGTTTATTAGATCAAGTGCAAGAGCTGCAAAGTAAAAAAAAATAAAATACAAAATAATAAATTACAGTCCATTACATACATAAAAGTAAAGTGCTTGAAGAACGAAATAAAATGACAACAATAAGGTTGATATGCATAGAGAGAACAAAGTTGGGAGTTGTGGTTTTATGGGACACGCTGAAAAGTGGGGGTGACAGATGTGCTGTGGATTGGTGGAAGATTAAGTGAATAATTTCCTTTCTGGTGCTATATGTCTGACTGAGCTATGTATGGGGTGTTTAAATATCAGATCTTTACTTGTATAAAACTAAAATTCCCAAATAATGATCTGAGTTCATACATCTTAACACAAGCCATTACTTATAGGACAACTGTCACCTCAAAACTGTTTATCAATATAATAATCATTTTATCAAGTTTAGAAAGGAAATATATATATACATATATATTTATTTTATTTTTTATTAATTTATTTTTTTAATTAAGGTATACCTAAAAATAAAAAATGAGAGAAGCTCATCCCTAGTATATGAGAGGATTGTTCAGCCATATACACGCACTTTGGGTGGTTGGACAGTGTTTGAAAACCGACAGTTAGTCTCTGTGGTCTTAATTGACCTGTACAGGGAGTAAATCAGAGAAGACCATAGAGACTAACTGTCCGTTTTCAAACATTGTCCAACCAAACGTCCGTCATACGTTTGTGGGTGAAGGATCCTGTCATATACTGAAGGTAGGGATGAGTTTTTCTCATTTTGTTACGTATACTTCATTAAAAAAAATGTGTTTTTTTCTTTCAAAACATGATGAAAGGATTATTATACTGAAAAACAAGTTTGAGGTGACAGTTGTCCTTTACGTACTTATCAGGCTACCCCTACTATCCTCTTCTCTGCGCATGCAATACAGATTCTGCACAAAGCAGCAACACTAGGAGTCAGAACAGGCCCCGTGCTTCTCAGACTACGTAGTAGACATCTTAAACTCAAGCCCCTGAGCTACAACTTCCATGGTTCTTAGTCCATCTTATGCAATCAGAGAAGTCTGGCAGTTGAAGGGCAAGAATTTGAGATCCCTGCCATATAGGGACAGGGGGGCTTGGAGATTGAAGCTCCTGAAAAATAATTCCCCAAAAATATGATCTACACAGTTTATCAATTAAAGCTCAGTTAACTGCTATAGGATGCTTCACACGAACATTAATAATTATAATAGTATGTAGTGCACTTCACTGCCTTTCCTTTCCGAGGGGGCGCTGTTTGCTGCTTTAAGCAATAAGAGATCACTTGTACGGACTGTGTAGAAAACAGCAGCAGCTTGTACTGAGAGGATGTGAATAGTACTGCACCTACATTTAGTGATTGAAAATATTCCAATAAACCAATCTGCTAGAGCTGTGATGGCTTGCCGTGACACCCACGACATTAATGATCTACATTTTAGAAAACATATTGGGTAATGCAGTTCTGGGGTGCCACCATTGTCCATCATTGTCGGATAGCCAGGAATACCACATTTCAATAACGTGAGCTGATGAGATAGCTCAGTGCATAGGACTCCAGCTCCGTGGTCACATGTCTGAGTCTCGAGTTTATTATCTTTCTGAGGTCAATTAAAATGGTTATCATTATGTGCATGCACAGAAACTGGTGAAATACTTTAAAAGTATTATTACTGACTTGACCTTCAGAAAGAGTGTTGATAAGATCACCTTCAGTTGTATAAAGATTTCATCTATCGCGAGCAAACCTATTGATTTAAATTCATAATAACCTAAAGATTGCTTTCTCCTCTTGTAATGACTACGCATGTCTGCCACTCCCCCAAATGGCGCACTTTGCATCCCACAATCCCTAGAGTGCAACATCTTGTTCGTGTCTACAGTTGATATCTTTACCCCTATGCTTCTAGCATAGTTATAAAGACTTATGATGATAAAAAAAAAAAAAGTCAGATAATTTTAAAACACTTTGGCTGTGCAATAAACAGGTGGAGTTTTTACATTGCTATATCTAGTTATTTCTTGGCTCCGCCTCTCCCCCGCCCCCAATTATTTACGTTTGGGCATGTTATTTTTATGCAGATTTTTGTTTAAATTCCTCCAGCTAGCAGCTCATTTGTTAACCATTCTTGAAGTTCAAAAAGTGATTTTAGCACAAACGTCAAGCATTTGCTGTACTCTGGGTTATTTAAATGCATAACTAGCTCAGAAACATTTTCTCCCTGGTATGTAATTTTTTGCAAAGAAACATTTAGGGGAGAATCTCTGAATTTGTTAACCTGTGATTAATTAGCCATTTAGTGCGGTATTTCTGTAACTATATTCTCATGCACTAGGGCCTGCAAGTTGGCAATATGGAGCATGATGTCTTCTTTCTTCTATTTGCGAGCATTCGTAACCATTCACTGATAAAATTCAGTTATTGTAAAAATTCAGTTATTGTTAATTCTTGAAATTCAGGATAGGTTCACGGGATATCTGGCTTTAAAACTTTGTCTACGTTGAGTTTTACATTGTGTCGGTGAGACTTCTTTGGATTTATATGTTGGTTTTGCTGGGAGAAGTGTTTCGGTCTGTTCTCTTTTTTTAATGGCTTCTGTTGTCTGTTTTCTGCCACCTTGGGGGTAGATTCCTGCGGTGTGCTCATTGACGCAGTGTACATGTTGTGGAGCTGAAGTTGCAGCCATTCCTGTCTTTGCAAAGCATGTCTAAGATCTCCAAAATTATGCATCAGCTGCATCTCGCTGACTGCCCGTCTCCTGCGGAAAACAGCACAGGAATTAGGAGACAGAAAATGATCAAGGGACACTTAGCCACGTAATAGAGTGCACTCACTTTACAGGTTTCCCATCACACTCAGTGAAGAAGGACATTCCACACAGAATGATTCCTAATTTTGTGAAGTCTGCTATAAAATACATAGTGTCTGCAAAAAAAAAAGAACACTAAAGTCAGTTTTATGTATTTCTTTACATCATTAGTAGAAATGAGTCATTAAACCTTAAATGAGTAAGAGCAAATTCAATGTGACAGCAGAATGCCTGCGGTAAACCAAATATACAGAGGTAACAAAAATATTTGAAAATACTTTAAGGGACTTTAAAGGAGGGTCACTAATATGTTTACCTCTACCAGTTATTTAACAACCATGTGTTAAACCGACTTAGAAAGTAAAATTAAATGTACAACCCACATTACTGTATATATCGCATCCTGTAACTGGGCGCCTCCGTCTTAGCTCCCTGTCAATCATTGTCATAAACTCTGTACTTTGCACCTGGCAGTCAGCATAGAGAAAGATTACAGGGAAGAGAAGAAATGAAACAATGTTTCTACTTCTCCATTGCATTGTGTGCCCTCGCTGTGCCAGGACTGAACTGGATTGTTATGACAATTGTTAAATCTTTAATATACATTTAGGAGAAAAAAAATGAAATTATGTGGATAAAGGTTAACACAGATTAAAGGTGATTTTCAATGTTTTATTGAATGGCATAATCTCCAGAAAAGTGATGTTTCTACTTTAGTAGAGTCGATTTGATGCATGCAGATGCAGCATTATTGACCGACATGAAAGATGAGTTTTTAGCACTACAGAAAATATGAGATTAAATGTTCATATGATTTATTTAAAATTACAGTCTTTTGGAACAAATTATTTTATTTTTAAAAGAATTCATAGCAAACTGCAAGAACATATTTTAATAACATTAATTGAATACTTGTGTAACAATTAAAAAAATTGAATAAACATTATTCACACCTATTGAAAATATATTCAGCACTTCTGAACAGCATTAAAATACTTTAATAAGATACATTTTTAATATACAGTAGTACTAAAGAGCATAAAAATAGATAAAATAATATTTAATTAATAGGATTTCTAACATACAGCGCTATCGAATAGCTAGCATAATGTTTAATAAGAAGGGTTTGCAACATACAGCGCTATCGAATAGCTAAAATAATGTTTAATAAGAAGGATTTCTAAAATACAGCACTATCGAATAGCTAAAATAATGTTTAATAACATGGAACCAGAACGTACACCGCTACCGAATATCTAAAATAATGTTTAATAAGATGGATTTCTAACATACAGCACTATCGAATAGCTAAAATAATTTTTAATAACATGGAACCAGAACGTACAGTGCTACCGAATATCTAAAATAATGTTTAATAAGATGGATTTCTAACATACAGCGCTATCGAATAGCTAAAATCATGTTTAATAAGATGGATTTCTAACATACAGCACTATCGAAAAGCGAAAATAATGTTTAATAAGATGTATCTTTAACATACAGCACTATCAAATAGCTAAAATAATGTTTACTAAGATGGATCTAAAACATACAGCGCTATCGAATAGCTAAAATAATGTTTAATAAGAAGGATTTCTAACATACAGCGCTATCGAAAAGCTAACATAATGTTTAATAAGAAGGATATCTAACATATAGCGCTATTGAATAGCTAAAATAATGTTTAATAAGAAGGGTTTGCAACATACAGCGCTATCGAATAGCTAAAATAATGTTTAATAAGAAGGATTTCTAACATACAGCACTATCGAATAGCTAAAATAATGTTTAATAACATGGAACCAGAATGTACAGCGCTACCGAATATCTAAAATAATGTTTAATAAGATGGATTTCCAACATACAGCACTATCGAATAGCTAAAATAATGTTTAATAAGATGGATTTCTAGCATACAGCACTATCGAAAAGCGAAAATAATGTTTAATAAGATGGATTTCTAACATACAGCGCTATCGAATAGCTAAAATAATGTTTAATAAGATGGATTTCTAACATACAGCGCTATCTAATAGCTAAAATAATGTTTACTAAGATGGATCTAAAACGTACAGCGCTATCGAATAGCTAAAATAATGTTTAATAAGAAGGATTTCTAACATACAGCGCTATCGAATAGCTAACATAATGTTTAATAAGAAGGATATCTAACATATAGCGCTATTGAATAGCTAAAATAATGTTTAATAAGATGGATCTATAATGCACAGTGCTATTGAACAGCTAAAAAAATGTTTAATAAAATAGAACTGGAACTACAGCGCTATTGAATAGCTAAAATAATATTTAGTAACATGGAACCAGAACATACGGTGCTATCGAATAGCTAAAATAATGTTTAATAACATGGAACCAGAACGTACAGCGCTATCGAATAGCTAAAAAAATGTTTAATAAAATGGAACTGGAACGTACAGCGCTATCGAATAGCTAAAATAATGTTTAATAACATGGAACCAGAACGTACAGCGCTATTGAATAGCTAAAATAATGTTTAATAAGATGTACCTATAACGTACAGCACTATCGAATAGCTAACATAATGTTTAATAAGATGGATTTATAACATAAAGCGCTACCAAAAAGCTAAAATAATGTTTAATAAGATGTATCTAAAACATACAGCAGTATCGAATTACTAAAATAATGTTTAATAAGATGGATATATATCGTACAGCGCTATCGAATAGCTAAAATAATGTTTAATAAGATGGAAATATATTACACAGCGCTATCAAGTAGCTAAAAGAATGTTTACTAAGATGGATTTATAACATACAGCGCTATCGAATAGCTAAAATAATGTTTAATAAGATGGATCTGTAATGCACAGCGCTATTGAATAGCAAGAACATTTTTAAAGGAACACTATAGTCACCTAAATTACTCTAGCTAAATAAAGCAGTTTTAGTGTATAGATCATTCCCATGCAATTTCACTGCTCAATTCACTGTCATTTAGGAGTTAAATCACTTTGTTTTTGTTTATGCAGCCCTAGCCACACCTCCCCTGGCTATGATTGACAGAGCCTGCATGAAAAAAAAAACTGGTTTCACTTTCAAACAGATGTAATTTACCTTAAATAATTGTATCTCAATCTCTAAAGTGAACTTTAATCACATACAGGAGGCTCTTGCAGGGTCTAGCAAGCTATTAACATAGCAGGGGATAAGAAAATCTTAATTAAACAGAACTTGCAATAAAGAAAGCCTAAATAGGGCTCTCTTTACAGGAAGTGTTTATGGAAGACTGTGCAAGTCACATGCAGGGAGGTGTGACTAGGGTTCCTAAACAAAGGGATTTAACTCCTAAATGGCAGAGGATTGAGCAGTGAGGCTGCAGGGGCATGTTCTTTACACCAAAACTGCTTCATTAAGCTAAAGTTGTTCAGATGGCTATAGTGTCCCTTTAATAAAATGAAACTGGAACGTACAGAGCTATTGAATAGCTAAAATAATGTTTAATATGATGGATTTCTAACATACAGCGCTATCGAATGGCTAAAATAATGTTTAATAAGAAGTATTTTATAACATACAGCGCTATCGAATAGCTAAAATAATGTTTAAGAGGATTGTTCTATAACATACAGCGCCATCGAATAGCTAAAATAATGTTTAATAAGATGTATCTATAACGCACAGTGCTATTGAATAACTAACATAATGTTTAATAAGATGGATTTATAACATGCCATACTAATCAAAAGCAAGACAATTGTTTAAGTAGATACATTATTAATGCACAGCACAATCAGAAAGAGGATAAACATTAATAAGGTCAATTTGTAACATGCAAATCTATGAAACAATGAGAATAATCATTAATAGAATGCATTTAACCCCTTAATGACACATAACAGAAATATTCCGTCATGATTCCCTTTTATTCCAGAAGTTGTGTCCTTAAGGGGTTAAAGATCCTCTATCAAAGTGTAACGTCAGTGTATAATTTTGCAGATATTTAAAGGGACACTATAGTCACCAGAACAATTACAGCTTAATATAGCTGTTCTGGTGAGTAAAATAGTTCCCTTCAAGCTTTTTTTCATGTAAGCACTGCCTTTTCAAAGAAAAGGCAGTGTTTACATTGCCTCTACGGACACCTCCAAGTGATGGCCACTGGAGGTGTTTCCTGGGTCAGTGCGGCCGAAAAAGCAGCACTGACGTTCAGCGTCCCCACGCTCTGCATGGAGACGCTGAATTTTCCATTGATTCAATGCATCTCTATGAGGAGGTCCTGATTGGCCAAAACAGCTTTAGGTCACGCCCGTGCCGATTTCAGCCAATCCAATGCTTTCCCTATGGGATATAAATTTGAAAGGTGAACCAATGTAAACATAGTTATTAAAATGGTGCAAATAAATATATATTAAACATTGATGTGTTAAATAATATGGGAAAGCATTGGATTGGCTCAAAATCGGCTATTTTGATGATGTCACAAAAGGGACGGAGCCAGCGCCGGCAGACACACGCATCGCAGGAGAGTTTTAAACTTTTATAACAGGGGCTAAGGGGTGGGGGGGGCAAACCATCTAAATGGTGGGTTAAACACTATAGAGTCAGGAATACATGTTTGTGTTCCTGATCCTATAGTGTTCCTTTAATATATTCCCAATTGTTCC